AATCTGAAGGTCACACGAAGTTTGGAGGTTTTTAGCTATTGATTCTGCAGACAGTTGGCGACTTCTATGCACTGTGCGCTTCAGCCCAGCTCTGTCATTTTACGTGGCTTACCACTTCATGGCTGAGTTTCTGTTGTTCCCATTTGCTTCCACTTTGTCATAATATCACTAACAGTTGACCTTGGAATATTTAGTAGCAAGGAAATTTTACGGATAGACTTATTGCACAGGTGGCAGGTGGAGCTTGAATTCACTGAGCTCCTGAGAGCGACCATTCTCACACAAATGTTTGTAGATGCAGTCTGCATGCCTAGGTGCTTGATTTTATACACCTGTGGCCATGGAGGTGATTGGAACACCTGAATCCAATGATTTGGAGGGCTGGCCCAATAGGTTTGACAATATAGTGTATGTTGTGTGTATAGTTCATATCCTCAACAGCAGTCTGGTCTTTCTTTTCAGGTAAATGCATGGCCAACGGTTGTCAGGTTTCTCTTCATAACTCCTGGTCATGTTTACCTTAATAGGTAAAAGATGTTTAGGGATTTCCATGACACATTGAAAACCAACTGTATATTCTTTTAAAACGTTGCTTGTCTACTACCAAATACTACTGTATTATAAAACAAATCTGAACTGAAATGGCTGGAATAAGAATCACGAAATAAATTAAACTAAAGCATATGTTTTTGTGCTCATTGACTCTTTTGCCCTGCTGAAAACACTGATATTATCCGGCTCACTGAAAATAATGTATGCTTCATTAGAGAAAGTGGATCTGTATGCATTATATTGCCTGTGGCTCTCTGATAATAAACTGCAGCATCATTTTCACATCAAGAGCATATCACTCTTCTTGGCTCTTGTATGCTTAGAATTCAGATGTTTTGTAGCTGAATATTAGAGATTTAGCTTAAATGTTGAAAATACAAATATATGTTTTCTGTTTTGCAAAACATAATATATAAAAGGGGGATATAGAGGTTAATGAGCTTTGTTTAATTGAAGCCAACATATTCCTTTGACTTTTACACTCAGTCTGCATAAAAACAAAATTGCTTACATTATATTTAAAAAAGAAATTATTATACAGTATTTATTTATTTTGTAAAATGTTTAATCTGAATTGTGTGTACAAATGAATATGTATGACATATATGTCTACAAACCTGTTCAGAAGATAAATCACACAGAAGCAGATTTTACTTATATTTATATCATTGTATTATTCCAGAGGATATAAATACCTTTTGGAAATCCAGAAATAGTGGGGGATGTCCTATCGTGAGCATGCTGATTCTTGGTACTGTGAGTAGCAAATCATACATTTCTTTAAAGGGAACCTGTACTCAATCTTAAACTTTTAAAAGTAAATATCCTGCCGGAGCAGAAACAACAGGATGCCTGTTATTACCTTTACTAGCCAGGAAACCTAGCATTTGCTCCGCTTCTGTTTCACTTTGTTACTGAGGATTGGTTGTTCTCCACTGATTGACAAATCTTGCCCAATGACATCCCTCATCCAGTGTCTTTAAGCTGGCCATACACTATTAGATCAAATGATTTTCAAATGAATCTCCATACGAAAATTCATATGGACATTTGTACGAAAATTATCAGTACATTCAATTACTTTTTCATTTGCTTTTAACATTCGATTTTGGAATTAATGGATTTCCCAAATGAAAGCCACATACATTGTAAGAAATTTGTTAATTTAAGAAACATTTTCCATTCTGCTCTTTTGAATTTTTTCATCACTACAGTAAAAAATAACATGGATTCAACCACACTAATGATTAGGAAATCAAATAATGCTGTGTGGCCAGTTTTACTAAGGCGCTTATCCCCTGAAGGTACAGATTCTAGACAGAGCTCAGTCTTTGCCAGTGACAGCTGACAGAAAGGTTTATGTTTCATTGTGTGATACTCCTACGTTGCACCCCACTGCTGGTGGAATAGAGACAGGTAATCAAAGTAAAATACCAATTGAGCCCAGCAAAATCATATTTGTTGAAACTGCCTCTAGTTAGATGAAACAACCCACTGGCAAAAGTTGGGGCAGGTGGCATTTTCCAGTTGCAATGTCTTTCCAAAATTAACAGAAGAATTCTGCCGATATGCCAGAGTTGCAACTAGAAAAAAGTAGGCAACTGCAAACTGGAAAAACATGCAACCAACACAGTCCAATAAACCCAAGTGATGTGGTTAATTCAAGTAAGGTAAAGTGCCATTGACATGGTATAGCATGAGCCTTCAGGTGTTTGAACATAACCTCACTTACCTTCATGTGCAGGCATTCCCTGAAATATGGGACACTCTAAAATGCATCTAGACACTTATGCACCACCTTCCACTTTCTACAGCTTACCATTGGTCACAGAGGTAACTGATCATTTTTGTAGGCCAATAATGGCCCATTGGAGGAAATGAAGCCAATTCCATAGTTCAAGAGGGTGTTTGCACATTAGAGATCCCTGATTTTAGGACTTTTGAGGGTTCCTACAATATATACTAAGTGGCAGTTTACTTGTAATAACTACATGTTTGCCTAAATCTTAAACTCTATTCACTAGGCACTCTCTAAACCACACCTTTCTTACATGATTGCAAACAAATTACTGCTGAAGGAAGCAGCAAAGTTCATACAAATATACACAACCATCAACCACTTGCATTTGGAGCTGATCCTTGCCAACATCCTGCCTATTTTAACAATGAACTAACAAAGGTATAATATTTTATAACATTCATACTCTGCCCTGAATTGATAAAAGATGCAGCTACCGCACTTCCCAGGATACGTCTCATAACACACTATGGGCAATTTGCCCAAAAATCCTTATGAATGTGGTACAGCAGAATCTTTTAGCAATTCATGGCACAGTATAAATACTTCTTTGTTATTCAATTCCCTAATTACATTTGAAAATGCCACTGTGAAATGACCCTGTTCTTCTAGACATTACGTGCATGGAAATTAATAGTAGGAGCACCCATTGTTGTGTACAAACCCATGCCCACTCCCCTGTCCACTCAGCACAATGATAACCACATCACGTGACATATCTTGTTTTTTTCTTAAAGGTCATCCAGATATATGTATACTGTAGATATACAGTATATATATATACTGCATATATATATATATATATATATATATATATATAGTGACAACTGGCTTCAAGAGGTAGCACAATGAGGACATAGCAACTCATTGAATTATTCTTTTTAACGGGCTTTTCTGCTCCATTTTTCTTAAAAGAAAGTTCTAAAAACAAAATTTACCAGTTTCCTCACAGGGATTTTCAGCATTTATCATCCAACCAAAGTACAAACAACATTAAACCTCCTGGCCTTTAGTCTGGTCCCACACCGTGACACAGTACCACTCAGTACCTCTCCCAAAAGCTTGATCCATACATTTGGCAGCCTCTTAGCTGTGGCTCCCATCTGTATTTCTGGACAGAGACCTCCTCTGTCTGTCAGGGTGAAGCCCAGACCCATGGTCAGGTCTCTACAAGAAGCCCTGCACACACCTGTACAATGAGTGTGCCAGTTGTTTAAAAAACACAGACCCAGGACTGGAGATTTCATGCCACCCATATCACTACAAAATCTCTGGGCTCCAGGTCCCAAAAAGGATTTGACTAAACAATGAGGAAACTGGAAAGAGAGGCTTTGTGGTTGGCCTGAATTAGTGCTAAGACCACAAGTGCCTACCCCCGCTCTTATTTTGCTAGAACACTGTCCCTTCTGCTGAGGCCAAATCCTTCGCCATATTGGCCCCCAACTCTGTGCCAGAGGCCTCCACACACAATTTCTTGCCACTGACCTTTATATCTCAAGGAAAGAATGTCCACACATATTGGAGATTTGCTGCACTCTACTGATGGAATTTAGGCAATAGCATAGCAGTCACATCACAAGGACATACGTTCTGGAGTTGTTTGACAATACAAAGTCATTCACATTAAATGTGCAATCTGCAGAAGTCATATGGGAAAGCATAAGCAGCACTTTAGAAGCTATTTTCCTCTATCAGTCTCTCCTTCACGCAAGGTAATTACTACTCACAGGACTGAGCTCTCAGTAGTCACTTCCTCCTTGGGTGCATTTCTCCTGGGACCCTTCAAAGACGTAGCCTCACCCAGGGAACTCTTGGTCTGGCTTAAAAGACCTTTTGCAATCTGCCCTAGCCCCCACCTCCGTAAAGGACAGAAAGTCTATAGGCTCTTCCTGAGTGAAGGTCTACTCCTCCCTGGCCTTCAGCCCTGTCCAGGGCCTACATGTGCTGATTACATTCACATATGTGTGGGGTGGTCATCTCCCATGCCCTAAATCCTGCTAAGGCTCCACCCATCCTGGTTTATAACATGGTAATGACTCACACATTACATCATTGCAGAAGGGTTCGATCTAAAAGGGGCTTAGCACCTGATGACACTATTTGCTGTAATCAGACACTAGTGGCAAAGTAGCTACCTGCATCTGCCTACACCATGGTTCTACCTTCTGCCCCATGAAATAATCATACTTTAATTAGGTGGAAAAGTCCAATAGTCCCTTAGCAGTACGATATCCCCTGGAAACCAGGTTGGGTCTCCACAATGGGTGGCAGGGCAGCAAAGTGGAGATTGCATCCTCAGCAGCACTCTCATTCTTTTGCCATGTGAGAGCAAACAGGACCTTTGGCCAGAGTTAACCTTTGACTACCAAACAGCACCACTTCTACTGGGCAACATTAACTAAGCCATGCAATTTACACAGCAGCAAACACACTTAACCCATGAAATAATTAACATAATCCACACAGTAATCCCTCAGTAAGCACCTGCTTACAATTTCCTCTGAATGAAAAAATACATTTTTAGTGAGGAGGGCTTAAAACTTCTGACAATGTTTTTCTTGCTCTCAGTGCTTCTCTGTCCCCAAAACAACCACACCCTTATTACTTACCTTGGTGCCACTGGTATAGCAACTGGTACAGGGAATTTTTGCAATGAAGTTACAGACCCCATTAAAATACACTATATCGCCAAAAGTATTGGGACACCCCTCCAAATCATTGGATTCAGGTGTTCCAATTACCTCCATGACCACTGGTGTATAAAATCAAGCACCTAGACATGCAGACTTCTACAAATATTTGTGAAAGAATGGTTCACTCTCAGGGGCTCAGTGAATTCAAGCGTGGTACCTTGCCACCTGTACAATAAGTGCATCCGTGAAATTTCCTTGCTACTAAATATTCCATGGTCAACTGTTAGTGTTATTATAACAAATTGGAAGCAACTGGGAACAACAGAAACTCAGCCATGAAGTGGTAGGTCACATAAAATGACACAGCGGGGTCAGCACATGCAGAAGCACACAGTGCACAGAAATCTCCAACTGTCTGTAGAGTCAATAGCTAAAGACCTCCAAACTTCGTGTGGCCTTCAGATTAGCACAACAACAGTGCCTAGAGAGCTTCATGGAATGGGTTTCCATGGCCAGGCAGCTGCAGCCAAGCATTACATTACCAAAAGCAATACAAAGAGTTGGATGCAGTGGTGTCAAGTATGCCACAACTGGACTCGAGTGGTGGAGACGTGTTCTTTGGAGTGACGAATCATGCTTCTTTATCTGACAATCCAATGGATGTGTCTGGGTTTGGCGGTTGCCAGGAGAACGGTACTTGCCTAACTGCATTGTGTCAAATGTAAAGATTGGTGGAGGGGGGATTATGGTGTGAGGTTGTTTCTCAGGGGTTGGGCTTCGCCCTTAGTTCCAGTGAAGGGAACTCTTAAGGCGTCAGCACACCAAGACATTTTGGACAATTTCATGCTCCCAACTTTGTGGGAACAGTTTGGGGATGGTCCTTTCCTGTTCCAACCTGACTGCGCAGCAGTGCACAAAGCAAGGTCCATAAAGACATGGATTAGTGAGTTTTGGGTTGAGGAACGTGACTGGCCTGCACAGAGTCCTGACCCTCAAATCGATAAAACACCTTTGGGATGAATTAGAGCGGAGACTGCAATCCAGGCCTTCTCGTCTGACATCAATGCCTGACCACACAAATGCTCTTCTGTAAGAATGGTCAAACATTCCCATAGACACACTCCTGAACCTGTGGACAGCCTTCCCAGAAGGGAAGTTGTCATAGCTGAGCAGCTGCATCCATGCTTTACATCACCAAGTGCAATGCAAAGTGTCAGACGCAGTGGTGTAAAGCATGCTGCCACTGGACTCCAGAGCAGTGGAGACGTGTTCTCTGGAGTGACGAATCATGCTTCTCTGTCTGGCAATCTAATGGATGTGTCTGAGTTTGGCGGTTGCCAGGAGAACGGTACTTGCCTGACTGCATTGTGCCAAGTGTAAAGTTAGGTGGAGGGGGGATTATGGTGTGGGGTTGTTTATCAGGGGTTGGGCTTGGGCCCTTAGTTCCAGTGAAGGGAACTCTTAAGGTGTCAGCATACCAAAACATTTTGGACAATTTCCTACTCCAAACTTTGTGGGATGGCCCCTTCCTGTTCCAACATGACTGCATACCAGTGCACAAAGCAAGGGAAAGACATGGATGAGTGAGTTTGGGGTGGAGGAATGTGACTGGCCTGCACAGAGTCCTGACCTCAACCCCATAGAACACCTTTGGGATGAATTAGAGTGGAGACTGCAAGCCAGGCCTTCTCGTCCCACATCAGTGCCTGACCTCACAAATGCTCTTCTGGAAGAATGGTCAAACACTCCCATAGACACACTCTTAAACCCGTGGGTAGCCTTGCCAGAAGAGTTGAAACTGTTATAGCTGCAAAGGGTGGGCCAACTCAAAATTGAACCCTACGGACTAAGACTGGGAAAGCATTAAAGGTCATGTGTGTGTAAAGGCAGGCATCCCAATACTTTTTTCAATATAGTGTATCAGTAAACCCTGTGCACACTCACATACAGACTGCTTTGTCACTTATTAATGAATAAAGTAAGCGCTGTATCATTTTCTATGGGGTCAAGTTTTTTGGTGAAACAAATTAATGGGCATTATCTAAACTAACAGGCAATACCACCTGCCACATGTGAAAATGCTGCTTTTCATGCAGTCTTCCTAATGTGACCAGATAAAGAGGTCTACTGGACTTTTTTTTAGGTCACCTTTCTAGGTAGGGCTTGCATTCTGCAATGGTGCAGAGGAATCAGATGACAACAGTTTTTATGCTTTACTCTACCATATACTCAGTAATAGAAAATGATAATAACAATAAACATTCAAATGGGTTTCAAACGCAAAGCACTTAACAGCACTGGCACTAAATATTTTCAGCAATATGGAATAGCACGATTATGCATTGCTTCCATGGGCTGGCTTCCAGAGGCTTGCGACCCCAAGCAGGAATCCTTGGGGCCAAGCAACAGGACACAGATGAGGCAGCTTCACTTAATCCAGAGGGTCCCTAAACTATCTCTATACAGCAACAGCCTTTTCTTGCTCTAGATCTAACTGTCCCTGCCAAGACAGAAGCCTCTCCCTACCCCCTGTTACACTGCGGGCATCCCCATTGGCATTATCTGGGGATATATTTATCCCCATTGTGTCCAAAATGGCCACCTAAGAATTTTTTTCCAGTGAGGACATAGGGCTCCCCCAAGATGGCCACCAGGAGTCCTGTACAGGGGACACGCCAGTCCTCTGATAGGCTTTGGATGGCCATACATTATTCATTTTTTTTCAACCAGCAGGTTGAATGTAAAAACAATTAGCCAATTTCCCCATCCACACACTTGATGCAGATGGGGGAATTCTTCCTGCTGAGCCTTTGAGCCTTTATATTCGGAGCCTTCCCCGCTATCAAAATACAGTGATCAGTTTTGCTGGCTATAGCCGGTGGCACTGATTGATCAGGAAAAACCCAACAGGCTGGTTGTTTACAAGTTGATCGATAGGTATACAACCAGCCTACCCATACATGGATTGAAATTTGTCTGGTCCTTTTCCAAGCAGCAGAGATAAGCAACAGCAGTCAACCGACTACATTGTTTACTTCCCACAAAAGTAAGTAAGAGAGCAATCTTACAATCACTGTCTCACTCTTCTGCCTTGCTAGCCTGACAGAGTGGTACTACTGCTGTGCAGCAGCTAGCAGTGGCAGCTGAACATGCAGCACCTGCCTACAACCCCCACTCCCCCCACCTAAGGAGTGCAGTCCTCGGCATTTGACCCAGGGTAAAAAGGCAGATGACTAAACAAACAGAACAATGTTCACATAGTGTAATTGCAGTAATTGTAATACTACAGAGTACATTAGTGCCTTGGTAATCTACCTGGGCATGCAAGGTTCAGCGCCCTGTAAGTGTTCATGCAGGAGGATTAGGACTGTCCTGGACCACAAGGCTGATCCCCCCCCCATGTTCCTTCATCCATGAAAGTCAAGTCCTCCACCAGAGGAAAAGAGGCAGATACCATTCCAGGGGTCCCTCACTGCAAGTATCAATGTTGCTGTCCATCTTGGCAGACGTTCGGGCAAAGTAGGTTAAGGTGCAACTGCTTGTGAGGTTATTCTGGTTCCTCAGACACAACTTGAGACACTGGTAGTCCAAGAAAAGGTTGCTGCTCAATACAAGGCTCCCACTTAAGATCCAGTTGGCTGCCCTGGTGCGTTTGGGACCTATCTCCAGGTCTCAGCAGAAGAAACTTGACTGAACCATCCTCTGTCAGATTTTGATGCCACTCCAGCAGGAGTTGCTTGACTTGGGTCAAGCAATGCCAATGGTTTTTGACCCACTTATTAGAGGACTTCACTGCACAGGCATCCCATAGACTGAGGAGTTTCCAAAAGTTAGTCCACGGAAAAGCTGCTACAAAGGCTGAACATCAGGAAGTGGGGTGTGTAGCCTGTGGCACCATGGACTGTCTGTATATAGGTTCACAAAACATTCCTGACATATTGAGGCCAGCATTCTGTGTGCTATTGGTACAAAGTGTGTATCAGCCCAAGCAGAGTGCTGTTACAACATTCACAATCCCCATTGCATTGTGGATGATATGAGGTGGTATGTTAATTTTGTATATCGCTAAAGGGACACGGTTCAGAACACTTGTGAATCAAAGGCCTTGATCTGACAAGATCCACTTGCAGTGCCCAGAGAACGTTTCAGCTACAGTGAAAATGTCCATAGTAAACAACTCAAACGGTTCCCCAGTGTTCTCGGCAAGGGAAGTGATGTTCTCAATCTTCCCTTTATGAATGGCATAATTCTGGCACACCCGACATACCCTGTGCACCCAAGTAAATAACCCAAGGCAGCAGATGTATCTGCGAATGAAGGCCTCCATCTACTCAGTGGTGAAGTGTCTCCAGGTGTTATTGAAGGTTGGAGAATTATCAACTGATGAATGTCCCACTGCTCACTGGCAATATTAGTCTTCCAATAGAAGAGTTTTTTCCAGTGTCTCAGCAGCTGTTGCAGTGTCAGTTCAATTTCAACCACTATTCCAAAAGCTGGCTAATATCGAAATCTCATCTGTCCCATGTGGCCCACTCTTTTGCAGTATGAATTTCAGGACCAGCTGGAGGGGACTAACTCACAATCTTCCAAAAGCTAAAAATTGTAACCCTGTGGTTGGTTGTGATGAAACTGAGAAAGTTAATCTGCATAACTGTTTAAATGTCTATGGTTGTAATGAATAGTATAACTGAACCAGGCAAGCCTGGCTACCCAGCTCTGTTCTAAGGTTTGATAATAGACAAGTGGATTGCTAGCTGTGTATAGTAGATATCCAAATGCCCACCCAATAGGCACTCATCAAACTTCTTTGTGATGGTCCAGACTACAGCTATCAACTCAAATTTATTGGAGCTATAGGTGGCCAGATTGGGTTCAGCATGACGTAATCTCAGGCTGGCATACACATTTACCCTCTCAGTCTCATTTTACTCCTAAGCAAGCACAGCCCATAAGCCTTGTAGGCTGCTGTCAGTATATACCCAGAAGAGTTTGCAGAAGTCAGCTTATGCTAGCATAGTAGCAGTCACCAATTTTTTGGTGAGACTCAAAGGCTTTTGCTTGAGCCAGTTAGCACTAATGCAAGGTGAAGATTTACCTTTTAAATTAAT